CTAAAGTTGGGTGAAACTGGTTGTTTGATTAAAGAGGCTGTAAGTAGGACAAAAGTTAAGCTTTACTTAGAGTGTGCATGCTTGAAATTTACCTAGGGGTACATGTGGTGGGCATTTGGGGAAGTCTGTGAACTGTGTTGACTTCTCCCTATGAAAGTCAGCAAGGAGGGACTTGCTGTCAGGAATAGAGATATAAGGTTTGTTCTCACTTCTGTAGGGTCTGTGTGCTTATCTTGAGTTCCACACCCACTTCCTATGGGAACAGTATTAAAGATTTCACTGCTTCTCTCATCCTGAGTCTTTCTAACTTACTGTGCCTACTTGGGCACCAGAGGTTATTTCCAGCATATACATAAATCACAAGTGGAAAAGGAGGGGGTGGGGGAGGTGCATTACAAACAATCATTTCCAGGGCCTGAGTGGTTTCCCACAATAAGCCCACAAGTGCAGGACAATGTGGGTGTTCTGGAGTCCTGTGGGAACAGCATTTTTCCAATTCTTTGGGGGCCATTACATGGTGGGGCATAGGAGCAGAGTTTTGTGATTGGACCAGGTTCTATCGTCTTCGATTGGCTTCACTTAACACACAGGCACAGGAACGTAGTGATTGTGAGAGCGTTGTCGAGGGTTTGAATGACCATGTCAACTGCATTGTAAGTCTCTGACTCCCAAGCCAGAGTCTCCTGAGAAATCAAAATTATCAGTATATTCATTAAATGTATCATATCAATAAATATGAAAATCATAATTCCCTTCCCATTTCCTCCTTTAAGTCAAAAATCAGAATATCATGTGGTTTATCCTTCATTCTCAAAGAGGACCATGACATTAGGAAGATGATGCCATGAATTGCAAGTGAATTGGTCTGAAGTGAAGGAGGGCTGTGCAAAGTCACCAGCCTCATTTTCTCCTCTGGGTCCGGTGGTCGGATACAGAACAGGGCAACTGGAGATGACTCAGGATTTAGTGGAGACTTTGGCTTTTTTAAGCTAAAGTCTTTTCCTTTTCTTACTTTGACTGAGATAAGGCCCACTCAGTGATTAGATCTGTTTAAGAAGTGAACCAAGGGATGGCCCCTTTAATAAAAAAAATAAAAAAGCAAAACAGGGAGGGGAAGGCCCTCAGGACTTCTGGCCAAAAGAGAAACAATTTCCATTTACATTCCCTCAGACCCCAGGTGGCCCAAACAATAACCATTAAGTGGTGCTAGGGACCCACTGTTGGCCAATCTATGAGAGCCAGAGTGAATTGGTTTAAGACTTAGGCTTTAAGAAAGAAATCTAGCCAGTAAACCCCAAGATATCTAGGTAGGTTTCAGCCTTCAAAATGTACCTTTCTTTGGGCAGAGCACCCTCAGGGAAGGGCATGATATCCTATGTGTGGAAGGAAGCAAACAGGAGAAGAGCAGAAAAGAGGGAAGAGGAGAGGAGGCGTTGAGTTGCCTAACTGGAAGTAGCCAGTTGGGTCTTGTCGACCCGAAAATTGGTTAAAGAGGCAACAAGCTAGGCGATAAGTAAATTCATATTATTTATTCTCTTGTTAGTAACATGTACATGGAGCCAAAGCTTTAACTCTGACTGAATCACGTAATTTTAGGAGGACATTTAAACCCTTACTCAGGATGTCTGTGTCACTCAGATTTATGATCTCCATATATGTTTAACCGTAGCATGAGAAAGGAATTTTCTTAATTGAATAGGTTGTAAATACAATAAGATAGGAGAATGTCAAAATGTCCATTGAAATTATAAATCCATGGTATCTGTGTTTCTTTTACCATCAACATGACATGACATAGTATGTTTCCATAAAATACCAAGATAACAAAAGTTCCATTGGTCAAGGTAGTGTCCCTGTCTAAGACACCTTAGTGGTCATAAACGAAAGAATGCTGGTCAGCTTCATCTGGTCCAGTAGTTGCTGGGAGAAAGGGGCATTTTGAATTCACTCAGAGAACAAAGAAAAAGCATGTCTATTATGTTGGCGTGCTTCTTCTGGTTGATAAGTTCAGGCTTCAGCCCCTTTGGCTCAAATGATCTTAAATGATCATCAGTCCCCAGGGGCCAGATTGGACTATTAACAGGTAGTGGTTTATCCTTCCTTCTCAAAGAGGACCATGACTTTAGGAAGGTGATGCCATGACTAGCAAATGAATTGGCTTGAAGTGAGGGAGGGCTATGCAAACTCACTTTCTCTTTCAGAGCCATAAATTCCTTGGTTACCATCTGAAGAGCTCACTTGCACAACCATAAGAATGCCGACAATGATATCTCTATCCTGTTTATTTGAATTCCATGACCAAACCACACATGGGTGGTGGAATGGGAAGGAAAGTTCTCCCCACTCATATATTCTTGGAGCTTAGGTATAGCTCCTGTGGAACCTAAGGAGAAGCCCATCCATCTTGTGATCACCTGGGCAGTGGAAATATTTCTTGCTTTGCCTAACCTGTGACTTTGCTGATACAGTTTGCTTATTTTAGCCTATGAATCATGTGTCCACCAATGGAATTATTCTCTATTTGGTATAGCTGCTCAAGAATGTCTAGGTATCTAGTCCCATAAAAATTGGGATCTGGAAGAAGGGGGTATCTCCGATTGGGAGGAAGGTCTGAGGTACATTTATTAGAGGGGACCACGGACCTTTTCATAAAGTGCCATTGGCTCAGAGCTCTGCCTTAGTGTCTCTTATTGTAGGTTTTATAATTTTTATCATCACAAAATAAAAACAAGACAAAAACAAAAAAAAATGCACACACACACAAAAATTGCCAATCAACATGTCAAAAAATGGAAGGGAGTTAAAAAAAAAAAACAAGGAGGAAAGTGCTTCCCCTTCCACCACCTTATGCCCCAGATGACCTCAAAGGGTCCTTCCGTTTCTACCATCCTCTGATCCCACAGAAGACAGGAAAGTCTGGAGTAAGGTGTCAGCTAAGCCCATCAGGCTCCAGCACCTGGGTCAGTGTGGTTCAGTGAAAAGAGGTATGGCTTAGCTGTCAGGAGTTTTGGAGGAGGAAGAAGACTGGAGGAGGGAAGGGATCTGGGTGACCCTGAACAATGGAGGGGTGGGACAAGCCATGGGCAGGTCTGGCAGGGAGAAATTGTGAAGCACCAGGTGTGAGAGCAGAAGGCAGGTGTGCATCCTCAACATGTGGCAATGGGCTCAAAACCTCTGGGGATCCTCACGATGCCGACTATCACTCATTCAAGGTGTTGGTCCAGCCATGGCCACTCTCAGGAGCAGTGGATCCAGGTCAGTCCAAAGCACACAGGGCCGCCTCTGCTCTTTCCTGGCCCTGACCTCTCCTTCTGCTCCCACAACTTTCTCCTGCCCTCCTCTCTCCTCCAGTTCCCCTCCCCAGTCTCTTTCCCTACACTAATGCCCTTCCTTTCCTGACCCCCTCACTCCTTCCTCCAAGCTTTCCCTTCTCCATGTGTCCTCCCTCACTTCCTTTCTTCTTACCCACTCATCTTCATTCTCTCTCCCCCTTACCCTGCTTTTCTTTCCTCCAGATCCTTCTCTCCCTCCCTCCTCCCCTCTTCCTCCATTCTTTTCTTCCTTCCTACATTACTTCAGTTCATCTCTTTCCCCTTTACCCTTCCTTGCCTTCCCTTGGTCAACCCTCCCCTCTGTCCCTTCCTCTCTTCCTACATGGACCATCCCAGCTATCCTCTTTCTCTTTCTTCTCCTGGTTTTGCTTCTCCCAAACCTCATCTCCCTCCTCCCAGCCTTCTTATAGCCATCCCTGACTTCCTCCCTCCTCCCTAACTTCCCCTTGAGATCCACTTGACCTGGGGCTGCTCCTGCCTCCTGTCCCAGACCTTCCACCCCACACCCCAACTGTTCTTCCTGTGGATGAACATGCACACTTCTCCATCAGAGGCACCTACATGGGGGAGATGAAAGCCCAAGAGACCCTGTACTTCCCTACTATCCCATGTTCCTACATGTTTCCTGATGTGATCCATCCCTCCTCCTCTGCCTTTCTCTCTCTTCACCCTGGCCAGGCCAGTGCCCCTCTCCTACAGGCTCCTGGATGGTCAGGACACCCTCCCACCTGTCATCTTCCTGCATGGGCTGTTTAGCAACAAAAACATCTTCCAGGCTGAGGCTGAGGCCCTGGCACAGCAGACAGGCAGGAAGGTAAAGATTCCCAGAAAGAGATGAGGTGGAAGAGGGAACAGTCTTTGGGGAGGGACAAAGTCAGAGGAAGAGGGGAAAAAGAGAATGTAGGGGGATGGAGGAGGTTGAAATGAGAGGCGGGAGCTGTCAAGGTGGGATAGACCTTCACTCAAAGGGGATGACTTGAGGGGCACCAGGAAGTCTATCCACAAACTGCCACTGGATGTAGTGGGTTCCTTTTCACAGGAGACTTTCATGCAAAGGACAGATGATCACTTGTTGGGGGGATTTTTGTTCAGCCGAGAGTTGGACCAGAGATTCCTTTCAGCCTGGAGATTTAGCAAAGGTCCCCTGCCCCCTAAATAATCCCCACTACTGACACCTGGAATTCTATTCATCTTGGAAGCGTTGCCATGGCTCAATTGAACCTTTTTTAAAAATTTATTTTGAATGGCACACATTCCTAGTAATGAATAGTAATTGTAATGCCTTTATGGTTAATGAAATTACCAGTTACTTTCTTTCCTAACATCAGAAAGCAAAAGGAAATGGAAGAAAGTTGAAAATCAGGCAAAGAGGGAATCAGTGACCCAAGAATCAGAGTGCAGAAGGATCAGCACTGACCACAGTCATGGTTGGGAGAATGGGAGAGGGAACAGAATATTTTCCTTTCTAATGCTATTGTCCTACTATGTTCCCATCTTCCCCACTTCCTCCTATTATCAGGAATTACTCAGTACCCTCCTGGCTTCCTGGACAGTCTAGGAGTCCTCAGGAAGCCTCCATCAACTGCTGGCAGTGGTCAGCACCCCCAGGGTGGAGAGGGAAGGGGGAGGAATCAGGGAGACTGATAACTCCAAGTCTCTTCCCCCCAGGTATTGACAGTGGATGCTAGGAACCATGGAGAGAGCCCTCATAGCCCTGACTGCAGCTATGAGGCCATGAGCGCCGACCTGCAGGCTCTGCTGTCGAAGCTAGGACTCAGCCCCTGTGTCCTCATCGGGCACAGCATGGGAGGCAAGACAGCCATGGCGCTGGCACTGCAGAAGGTGAGGGAGCCCCGCTAGGGCTGAAGGGGCAGAGAGTCATACTTGTCCGCAGGCAACAGCAGCCTGTAACCCCATAAGCAACACCAAAGATTCATCATACTCAGCCAGCTGCTTGTGGGGTTGGGGGTGGAATGAGGCTGTGAGTGAACACTGGGACAGGAAACAGAGAGTTCCTAGGGGAATAACATGAGCTTTACTGTACACACTTCATCTTTCTACATCCTAATGGACTGAAGGGAAGTTGTGGATGCCTCCCCCGGGCCTGGGAGATTTCAGGGTTCAGAGTCAAGTTCTAAGAACTTTTCCTCATGAATGTCACCACCTCTCCATGGCTAACCCAGAGCATGCAAACAGGAAGGCTGGCATCAGGACCACTTACAGGCTATGGAATGGGCACCTATATATAATCCCCCATCGCTCTCCTTTGGGGACCATGGCTCCCACTTTATCTGCTCTAGTACCATCACTAGGTGCATGGAAGAGGAGGGAGGCCATTGTGCACTGATCATTGTGTGATGGACTTTCTCCTTTAGCCAGAGCTGGTGGAACGTCTGGTCTCAGTGGATGTCAGCCCCTTGGTGGCCACCGACATCCCAAAGATCTTTAAAATTATACCTGCTATGAAGGCTATAAACATCCTTGGAGATGTTTCCAACTCTGAAGCTTTTGAAGTAGTTGATGAGTATCTGAAGCTATTTGTCAAGGTGATCCTTCAGGACCCCCAGGGCTGGGGATGTGGAGATGGGCTGCTGAAGCCACAAGCCAATCATTTGAGTTTGGAATCCTCAGGAGAGTGGAGGTGGGGTGGAGTAGAATGCAGCCCAGAAGGAGAAAATCTCTGGGGGGAGGGGACAGGTTAAGGGGAACAGAGAGGGCTTCAATTATGAGCTCCTCCAAAGCCAACCCTATCTACTACTTTTCTTTGTGTTCCCAGCACTTTGTATGCCAACAGGAGGCATTTACTAAATGTTGACATGAAGGGAGAAGGGTGTTTAGAAATGAGCTGGAGTCTAGTCTGAGTAGGACTCAGAAAGGGCTGGGGTTGGTGGAGAGAAGACAGGGACTCAGGTGGGTGTGCCATCTAAGCCCTTGTACCCTCCAGGATTCAAGCATTCGGCAGTATCTGTTCAACAGTCTGGTGCAGGTCAACGGGCAGTATGAGTGGAAAGTCAATGCTGAAAACCTGTGGCAGCAACAAAACTTGTTTCTGGATAGTCTTCATATCCAGGGCGTCTATCGTGGCCCCACACTCTTCCTCAGAAGCGCCAATTCATCCTTCATCCCGTAAGGCAGGGCCAGAGGGTGGAGGGGCATGCCTAACCCCAAAGACTTCTGCCTTTCTTGGACCCCAGTTGCGTTCTTCATCACCAAGGACAAGGGCACCTGGGGGCTTCAGTGATGCTTGGGTTCAGGAGGGGAAGGTCCCTCCAGCACTGGGAGAAAACATGTACATTATCACAATTTATGCCTTTCTATCTGCCTAGACTGTTTTTCCTCCTGTCACCTCCCATACCTACTACTCAGCCTTTACCTTTGTGACTGCCTGTCTCTGATTCTCAGATTCTCTGATTCATCTTTTCCCTCCTCTCTCTCTCTCTCTCTCTCCCTCTCTCTCTCTCTCTCTCTCTCTCTCTCTTTCTCTCTTATTGCTGTCTCTCTCCTCTCTCCTTTCTCCCCTTTTCCCTCTCATCCTATACCCTCTCCCTCTTCTTCTTTCCCCCTCTCTACTACCCTTTCCTTTCCTCTCTTCCTCTCTTCACCTCTTTCATTCTCTCTCTTTCTCTCTTGACAGGTCAAGTCACTACTCCAAGATCAAGTTACTGTTCCCTGAAGCCCAGTTCCAGACCATCCCTGATGCTGGTCACATCCTCCATATCCAGAAGCCCCAAGAGTTCATGAACAGTATCCTCAGTTTCCTGTCCTAGAAGATGTTCCCTCTCCCCACATTCCACTTTCGAACTTTCAAACACTCAGAGAACCCTAGGCTCTTCCTTCAGTTGGAATCTTTTTTTTAAAAAAAAACCATCTTTTTCTAATTCATAACTGAACTAACACCAATCAATATGAACATTCCCATAGGAAAAGAATAAGAGAGAAAGAGAATTGTAGACATTGTGAATCTCTGTTATGAACAGCTTGGGGTTTTTTAATCACACGATAAATTCAGCATGTTAATTTCCAAGTTGTCTTCTTGTCTTCAGCTCCCACCAAACTTACTTCTGTTCTTTGCTCTGCAATTTTTACATGTTTCAATGACCCACTTTCTTTTCTTTTTTTAGAAAAATAAATACTCTTCTTGTGACCTTGATAGATAGCAACAGAAATAAACATTTCCATATACAAAGACAGAAAAAAGAGGATTCTATATGGAACCATGAATCTACCATGTACAGTTTGTTTTCTCAGGTTTTTTTCTTTTAAGTTGCATCAGTTTTATTTGAGGCCCTTCACCATCCTGGGGGCTCTGGATACTCTCTGGCTTATCAATGTCTTTTCTGGAATATGGTGCCCTGAACTGAACACTTTTCAACATTAGCAGAATGGAACTGTCAGGGCTGTGACTTCCCACATTAATAATTAAATATTATTAATAATTATTATATTTATAATAAGTTAACAATAAAAACAACATCAACAATAGCCATAATAAGGCTGCTAGGGAGTGGAATAGATAGAGCAATGAGCCTAGAAAAATCTGGCCTCTAGCTATGTAACTTTGGGTAAGTCACTTAGCCTCCATTTCCCCAGCTGTAAAATGGGACTCATAATAACCCCTACCTCCTAGGGCCATTGTGAAGATCAAATTGTGGAAAATGTGGTTGAGGATGTTGCTTTTGCATATCATTCAATCAGGGGTTGAATGCCTACACAACAGCATTAGAGTCAGTTTGGACTGGGAGGGAGTGTGGGAAATGACTGTTTTTTTTTCTACAAGGTTATAGTCTAGGGACTGGATGGAAGTTGAACGAAGGAAAGACATAAAGTAGAGTTGGTGGGTGAATGGACTTACCAGCGAAAACTGATTCTGAGGTTAGGTATCCATATCCCAGGCAAAGGGGATGTGGGCATGCCCAAATAAGGGAAAAGTTGAATAAGGCTCTGGGTGACCAAATTGTGGGGAGTGGGAGATGTAAAAATAATAAGCATTTAAATAGCCCTTTAATGTTGGCAAAATACTTTGCCTTCTTGCACTTGATCCACACAACAACCCTGCCAGAAATTCTTATTACCCTCCTCTTACAAATGAGGAAACTAAGGATTTCCCCAGACCCAAGCCAAAGGTCCCATGGCTTGGAAGTGTCTAAGGTGGGATTTGAACTCAGGTCTTCTGACATCAAGTCCAGGGTTCTCTCCACTGTGCCACCTAGCTGCCAAGCTGAAGTCTCTCACCTTGGCTGTCTCCACTGCCACAAGGCTTTGCCTGATGCCAATTGGGGAACCAAACTGAGGCCCTGAGGGTGGCTTTGCAGAAGGGCCCCTGCCCTCCCCCTGCATCTGGTTTTGGATCCACCAGCTGACCAGCTGCCTCACTTCTTCTAAGAGAAAGGGACAAGAAGGAGGGTGCAAGCTCTGCCAGGGACAGTGACGGCAAGTCCAAGCCTATGGGGAACCTGGTATAAAGCTGACAGACCTCTCTTGATGTCACACAGGCACACTCACAGAGCATGCCTCCTACATACATACTCCCTCACCCTCCTGTTCTCTACCTTCCAGGCTCTGCCTCGGTTTCTTTCCTTGTCTCCAGCAGCTCAGCCTCTTCTGCCAGTTTCTCTGTGGTTCCTCTTGTAAACCCTCAATCCATTGGGAGCTCCTGGAGGGCAGAGTCTTGTTTTTCCTTTTGTTCACGCATTGCCCACACCTAGTATGGTACTTGGCATGCAATGGTAGGTGCTTAATAAATGCTTATGGAATTAAATTGTATTGAACTGAATCTCAAAAGCTTTTGACCCTGTCAACCATGCCCTCTTCTTGGCCTCTTTGGAATGTAGGGAGCTTATGTGTTTTTTTGTTTTGTTTTGTTTTTGGGCAATTGGGGTTAAGTGACTTGCCCAGGGTCACACAGCTAGTAAGTGTCAAGTGTTTGGTCTGAGGCTGAATTTGAACTCAGGTCCTCCTGACTTCAGGGTCAGTGCTCTATCCACTGTGCCACCTAGCTGCCATTGGAGCTTATGTTTTAACGGGGGGAAGACAGTACATAAAAGAAAACTGGAAAAGGTCAAAGGGGTCAGAACCCTGGTTCTAAGGTCAACTCAACCTCATCTAAAGTGTCAAAAGCTACAGAGAGGTCAAAGGGGATGAGGTGTATTGTGGGAGGTCTCTGTCATCCCCCCCTGCCAGCTGGCATGGGTCACAGGGAAGGGGTCACCAGGGAGGAAGTGGGACCCTGTCATGGGGGGATTAAGTTCAGATATACAAAGGGGTGAACCTAGGGGCAGGTGGCACACTTTCCTCAGCCCTTCCATGGAAAGCCTTCTCTAAATGAGAAGAGACTTGAGGGAGTTGGAACTAACCCCCTAAATAGGGTACAGGCTAGGTTGGGATGAGAATTCCCTAAAATTGAGATTTCTGCTTTGGGGGTAGGACAGGAGAAGGACCTGATCTTTCCTAGCAGAGTTACTGGGACCCCATCCCTGCCCTATTCCTGGTTTTGCACCACCTCAAACTAGAGCTATTCCTGAGGCCATGCCTGGGGAAAAGTCTCTGGGTTCCAGCCTTTCCTTTTTGCTCCCCCCGCCAACCTGACCTTTTCTGGAGCCCCTCTCCTTGCCCGTGATGCATATACATGAACCACTTGTCCCCACAAGTCAGCTCTTAGCTGATATTCCTCTCTAGGCCCACCCAGTTTTCAAAAGAAGACTCTTGGAGACAAAGAGCTGCCTTATTTTAATGGTGAAGATGTTGGACAAGACCACAACCTCCACAGAGACAGTTGTAGGTGAGGGGCCTACATTGTCCATCACATCACAAGGCAGCATTTACCTGGACCTTGGGTTAAGTTCCCTATCTTAACCCTGGCAAATGAAGCTTCTACAATCTATGGTCATTCCTGTCCCCTTATACTGAGACCCATCAAACTTTGACTCCTGCAATACCTCATGTATTGTCCATAGCTCTATAATACTGTCCATAATATATGTGAGGATGAGCTGGAATTGACCCTACCCCATTTTAGCCTTGACAATCTTAACTATGTGAGGGTACTCTCAATCAATTTCAGGCTTCAGACTAAATGCAAAAAGGCCATTTTTTGCAAAAACTGAAGTGATGTTGCCTGCAAAGAATTTTGGCCACACTTTGAGAGTCATCTATAAATAATCAAGGGAAATGGGGAGGGGAGGAAAGATGTCTCATACCCATTTTTCTTTATTACTATCTAAAGAAATGCCTCTTCCGAGGAAACTATTGCCATACCTGCCCAATGCTATAAGCATAAGTGATCTCCAGGAAGAAGCACGATTGATTGAGTAAGGATTCAGCTGCTCCCAAAGCCCAAGACAGAAGTCCAAGCCTCTGAGGTGGATAAAGCAGCCTTCGAGGCTGGAGCGAGAAAAGCAAGGCCAAGGGCTCCATATTCCTAAAGAGAGAGGCAGCAGCTTCACTTTGTTTGCCAGCCGACAGTTAACTTGTGGGTCCTTATTGGTCATGAGGGCTCTACAGTAAAGGCAATGGAACAGTTTGCATGCACGCAAGTAAGTATCAAAGCAGAAAGAAATCAACATTCTATCTACATCTATGGAACCTGCGGAGCCTGCAGAAGAGGGCGAGATACGGTGGAATGTGTGCTTGGTTGGTACTAGCCAGCACACAAAAAGGACTTAATCTGAGCTCCAAAAAGAGAGAATACATCTCTGAGTAGAACTCTGGGGAATATCTCTATAACAAAACTGAGGTATGGCTGACATCTAGGGTCTCTTCTAAAAAGGATTAACAGTCAATCAGTCTACTAGCATTTATTAATCACCTGTATGTACCAGGCACTGTGCTAAGTTATGGAGACTCTTAACATTAGAAAGGCATTTAGGGTATTAAGTTCATATCAGGTGAAGGACAGCTATTTATTTCTTTCATCAGAAAAAAGGCACCTGGGCAGCTAGGTGGTGAAGTGGATAGAGCACCAGCTCTGAAGTCAGGAGGACCTGAGTTCAAATCCAGCCTCAGACCAAACACTTGATAGTTACTAGCTGTGTGACCCTGGGCAAGTCACTTAACCCCAATTACAAAAAAAATTTTTAAAAAGGCACCTAAAACACAAAACACTCACAAATATGTATTAACAAAAAAGATGAAAAACATGAAACAGTAACCCCATTACCACTCTTCTTTCAGGAGGTAAAAACAACCTTATAGGACTGCTCAGCAAAGGTCTTACTTTCCCATCTCACCTGCACTATCTGTAACTCACGGCCAGTCAGTTTTGACACAAACCCCTTCATGGGGACCACAGGACTAACTAGATTCTCCTGGTCATTCTTGTCCCTTAGCAAAGGGCCAGAGCACATGGGGTTCATTGGAAATGGCTACGGCAAATGCTCATTAAAGAGATGGACCCTGCAAAATGGACATCCATGTGCATGGATGTATACATACCCCAGCTATAACATGAAGGATCTCTCCTCATGAGGGGAACGCTCAAAGAGGAGCTGAAAGGTTTTAGGACAGTGATTTCCCAGTGCTGTTCCTGAAAGATAAAGTCAATGTTACTTTATTCAATGAAGTAAAATGTTAACCCAGAGCTATAAAACTAGGCTTTGTCATTGTGAAGTTGTCCTTGTTTAAGATTCTATAAACATTATTTTAAAAGGCCTTGTGTGAAGAGATGAGCCAGGGCATGAGGGACTCAACCAGTCTGAATATTCCTCTCCCCTAGCAAAACAATGCTGGAATAAGAACTCTAACCCTAATGAATAAAAATCATTTCTGACAGACTTGTGCCTAAAACGAAGAGGATATATAAATAGTTTTCTCTTCAACATATAGGAAGTACCATGACTAGGAGAATCTGATCTACTCTCAGTTTCAATGATTTTCCTCAAACCCCAAAAATAACGCCAACTCACTTTTTCAACAATATCCTCCAAACGGATGTTTCAGAAGGTAATTGTTGTTATTAAATGAATTTCCTCCATTATTATCATAAGAAAATGGTGATTTCTTCTGTTAGTTCACTCTTCAAAGTATTTCGTATGAGAAAAGTCAATGTGTTTCACAACAGTAGACAGGTGTCCTAATAGCTGCTCCCATTTCATCACACAATTTTACAAAGAGCATTCTTTTTTTAAATGATCAAAAATTGATTTTTTTCTCTACCTCTTGCTTCCCCTCCATCTTCTCCTCTAACAAAAAGAAAAGAAAAAAAGAAAAGCTAAACCTTTGTGACAAATTTGCATAATCAAGCAAAGCAAATTTCCTCATGGCCATGTCCAAAAATGTGCGCCTCATTCTACATGTTTAGTCCATTGCCTCTCTATCAGGAGGTGGGCAGCAGGCTTTATCATTGGTTCTCTGGAGATGGGGTTGGTCATTGAATTGTTCCTAAATCTTTCAACGTTGTTTATCTTTATAGTCTGATCATCGTCTCTTTCATTCTCTCATTCACTCTGGAGTTTTTTTCCACTGTTCTTCATTTTTACTTGTCTTGCATTGTCCTGTATTTATCATGGTTTCTGTTGAAAACTTTTTGTTTGTTTTTAGTATTTGGGAGGGGTTTTTGCTGGCCATCTGCCCTCCTAGTCCTCTGCACTCACTCATCCCAGAACAGATCGTTTTGTGTCCTGTGACTTTAAGGGAGAGAGAGAGGCTTTTTGTTTTGGTTTTTTCTTTCTCCTTAGCAGTAGGACTTGATATTTTCAACTTGGGAAGAATTAAAAGATGACTAAATGTGGTTGTTGGTTTTTTTTTTTAAGTTCACGTCTTGTGACAGTTCTTTCATACAGATCCCAAAGTAGCCTGAAAGAGGTCATGGGCAAATTTCAAGTCTGCTTTCTCACCTAATGAAGTACCAGACCTTGCACTGAAGGAGCCATATTTGAACAGAAAGTAAGTCATTATAAGGTTGGTACCGGCAAAGGGAACAATGAGTCTAGGCTTTCTTCAGGCTGGAGCATTCCACACTCTGAAGCATTTGGTACATTTTCTTATGTTTCTCCCTTTTGCCATTTTTACAGCACAATAATATTCCTTTTTTTTACATGCCATCATTTGTTCAGCCATTTTCTAATTGATGAGCACCCCTTAGTTTCCAGTTGTTTGCCACTACTAAACCAAAAAAGAAAGCTGAAATATATATACATATGTAGACACACATATACATATATGAATATATATGTAGTGCATAGGTCCTTTTCCTTTTTCTTTGATATTTTTGGAGTATAGACTTCATGTGGTATGGCTGGGTCAACATATAAATCATTTTGTGACTTTGGGGGCATAGTTCCAAATTGTTTTCTATAAGGGTTATGCCAATTCACATTTCCACCAAAAGTACATTAATGTGCCCATGTGTTTGAAAACCTTTGCAATCAATTAACAGAAAAATTTTTTTAAATTTTGGTTATTTTTGTCAATCTGATAGGTGTGAGGTAGAGCTTCAGAATGTCTCTAATTTTCATTTGTACATTTATTATTTAGCTATTGATAGCTTGGATTTTTTTCCTTTGAAAACTGCCTTTTTGTATCCTTTGACCACATATCAGTTGGAGAATAGAAAAAATCTTCTTATTAATGGACTAAAAATCAGTTCCTCTTATTGGCTAACATGACCAAACAGGAAAATGATAAATTTTGAGGAAGATGTGGGAAAATTGAAACATTAATACATTGTCGGTGGAGTTGTGAACTGATCCAAATATTCTGCAGAACAATTTGGAACTATGTCGAAAGGGTTATAAAATTGTACATACCCTTTGCCCCAACAA